GTGATAATTTCTTTTAAAGTCATATTTCTGTGTTTCCTCTCAGCTGTACATCAAGGTACTGCAGGAGAACATGTCTCTGAAAGACAAGCTACAAGAGATGGAGCTGCAGCTGAGCCAAAACAAAGAGGAGCTGGAGAGACTGCGACAGGTTTGCTGCTTCCATCTGTTTTTGTGTCGTTATATATCAGCATATTTAATTCAGAAACCTTTAGGTTTTTAATGAGCTGCTATGAAAAATGCACTTTATTTAGTGAACAGGAACGTTCTCTTTGTTTCAGAGTCAGGAGGGCGGAACTGACAGACCAGCACTGCTTGAGCTAGAGAGATTTGTAAGTCTACTTCAGAGGTTTATTTTAAACACCTAAAGCAAAGCTAAGCTTCCATATCCTGTCCTTTAGCCTTTAAGCTGCAGAAGCTTCTGTCTTTGCTTGCACACTCTGCTTTGTAAGGTGTGATAAAATACCGATGTAGTGCAGAGAATGCGTGTACATTAACAGCTCTGCAGTTTGAGTGGTGCATGAAGCCCACGGGTTTAACTGGTCGTTGCCTCAACTTGCATTTTCACTGCAGAAGCTGGAACATTTTGCTGCAGCAGGTAGCCTCAGTTTGTTTCCTGATCTTTTCTATATTTGATTCACAGGAAAAGCTTGCCCTCCAGAGGAAAGCGGTGGAACTGGAGGATGAGCTGAAGGTACAAGTATGCAGATATTATAGCTTGGAGGTGAACATTGATAACAGATGTGTTCATGTCATGCTGCTCAGTAAACTTAAACAGCTCAGTTGCTGGAAGTCAGGATGCATTTAAATGATTTTGCTTTAAATAACTAAAATCTACAGTTTTGAGGTTAAACGTTCTCCCCCCTTTGGTTGGAGGTTAACATTTAGGTCATAGAAAAGTTAAACTTTAGGCTTTCGTTTAAAAAAAAAAAAAACAGGTATAATGTGGATTTTCCTTGTTTCTATAGAAAGTCAAAATTATTCAAACAGGCTTCAATATAGGCATACAGGTCTCCTTCGTCTAGATACGTCACTTAATAACCTGCTGAGAAAGACTTTCTTTTTGTTGAATCAGTGAGGTTTTGGCATAATTCTGCCCATAGTTTATAGAAAAAACAAACATTTCCTGGTTGGTACCCGGCTTTAAAGCTTAATCCATGCCTCTCATGTATATATATATAGTAAAGCTACTTTATATAGAATACAAAACAACCAACACTAATCCAAAGATTATTGGGCCTTATAACCAATTTCCAAAAACAATTGTTTTAGTTTTGCATACTTTTTAATGTTTTATATACTAACTTTTTAATGAGGCGAATCAATCGAGAACCAGTTTAAAACAAATTTAGACCATTTCAAACGAGAAAATGTTTTACACCTTTAAACTAAACAAGACTGAGGTCCACAGTGACTATGGTTGCATAAAAGTGTTCGAAACAACAATTTGTTCATTAGACATTTATAACTTAGAAAAGAGAGTGTCAGAGATTCAAAGTTGGTTTTGGTATATGGGCAGAGGAATAGTAATCACTATCATCTTTGTTATTCGGATTAAGGTTTAAAGTATTCATGCTCTAAACAGGAATGTCCCTCTCTGTCATTCTGAGCATCAAAAGTCTTGTACCTAAGGTGAAATAAAAACATTTACCTGAAAGAAAAGCAGAGATAACTACTCAACCTCAAATGCACTATAAAAAAATCTATATACACTCTATTTCTGGTCTACATAAATGTTAATCTAAGGAAAAAATATACATTTGCTGCTTGTATAAATAATGACCTGAATGTCCAAAACACACTTAGATTGATGGATTCATCAGCTTTACTAACTGACACTGGAACGACCAGGAGGACTGGGTGTTATACATACAGCAACAATATTTAGCAGATGGATGCACTTCAATGTTTTAATGATTCAAATATGATAAGGAAGCCTTTAAAAGGTCAGCTCAGTGTTTTGCAGTGGTGAGTCTTTGGTTGAGCAGCTGTAACCTGAAACTTTATCCACATTTTTAAAAAATATAGACCTGATTGGATTCTGTTGGATGGCTAGAGATGAGGTTGATGGCAACAAGGCCTTCAAACCTGGATTTGGAGCTCATACATGATTAACAAAACCCTGAGAGATGAAGTATAAATCAGTTTAACACTTAATAAACAATGCTAATAGAAAAAAATCTTATTTATAAAATTTCCTTTTTAGTATTTAATTCTATTTTTAAGAGCTTTGACTTTTCTATTGGATCAAACTTCCCAGTTGAATGAAAATTTTGGCGTGAATAATTTCTGGCTGAACTTGATGCTTAAAATATTAACCACAGGCCTGGATTTTGGTTGAATAATTACATGTAGGAGACACAACCAAATTGCTGTCATTCTATATTCAATAGACCCAAATGATTCTGTAGCAGCGTTTTTCCATGTGTGTGTTTAGGTTCTGGGAGACCTCAGAGCAGACAACCAGAGGCTTAAAGATGAGAACGCCGCCCTCATTCGGGTCATCAGTAAACTCTCCAGATGAACCACAATCATCATACAGACAGAAAGTATTACACAACCAATGTTTTGCCCAAACTGAGGAGTCAAACCACTATGGGAGATGCAGCGTGGAACTGCAGATGTCTGGTTCGCGGCGCGCCATTTGTTGGGCCTTGGATGTTTTTGCAGATCTACTGTTCATCAAGCCAAACTGCACCACCTGTGGACCGACGGGAAGTTCACATCCAGTTTTATATTAGCTTTTTATTGTATTTTTTTACCTGCCATGTTTTATTGTGCTTTGCTTCAGCGATCCTTTGTATAAAATCTGTATTTTGGAGACTTAAAGCCATGCAAGGCGATAGCTCACAATAAAGGGTTTGTCGCACACAAGACTTAAATGTGCCAAAAGAAGGGGGGAGGGGAGGGGAGGGGGAAAAAGTTCCAGTTTTGCACAAATTTAGGTAAAAAAAAAAAAAAGTGGGCAGTATTGTTTCTCAGGATGAGTCTTTTTGTTTAGCATTTACTGTTTTTTAGTTGGCTGCTGTACCAGTGGACCAAAACCCTGCATGCTCACCTTTCCCTGCTCATCTCAACGTTCATTTCATGCGTTAATATTGCAGCCGCCTGTGGGGGTGCATTGATGTAAAGGCAGTACCTGAAATACTGCTGCGTTACAGACTGAGTGTTTGGGTGCTAACGGAGAGGTGACGATCAGGTTTAGAAACTTTGAATAATGTTACAGCACAGATCCCTTTCTGGAGGTTGAGGAGAATCTGATCTCTGTACTGTTTGTTTTTGTTTGCCATAATGACTGGACTCTTCTTTGTATTCACCCTGTGACGGACAGCTGTAGTTTAACAGACAGGCCAGATGGGTCATCCTTTGAATGTTTACCTACCTGTGAGACAGAAATGCATGTCAAGTTGTATTTTGAAGCTGTGCCTTTGGATATACATTTGTAAGTAATATTTCTATTTTGATTTGGCATTGTACAAGGTCGAGTATAAAATACGTGGGTATAAACAACTTAGGCTCTGTCGCTTCTTTTTGACTTGTAACAGAAAATATTACAGCAAATCCTTTACTGCAAACTAATGTTGGTATTGATGTTTATTACTAACAAAATCCAGAAAATGGTGTTGATGTGTTTCCATTATCAAACAAACTGAAAAGGTGGAATTGATCCATGTGCCTAAAACTTGTTTTCCTTGAGTTTTTCTTATTTAAAGCTTTGAGTAACAACAGGACACAGCCTCTAAAGGTGTATTTCCTAGAGAGACGCATGTATGTTCGTTTTCCAGTACGTGTCACACATCTGCATGTTCTGAGGATATTTTCAGCTGTAATGTTTCCAAATCTCTGACAATTCAATTGAATTATCCTCAGAATTACAACTTTAAGCCTATTTTGTTTAAAGTGACAGAGTCCTGGCTTTCTAATATCCCAGATTTTGTACAGAAAATCAGACCTCTACAACAGGCATCCTCAACCTCGGTCCTTGAGGCCTGCTGTCCTGCAGCTTTTAAAGGTTTCCTTGCTCCAGCACAGCTGATTTTAATTGAAAGCTGATTAACAGGCTTTTGGTCTACTGCAGTCATAATCAGCTGTACTAAAGCAGGGAAACTTCTAAAACCTGCAGGACAGTGGCCCTCGAGGACCGAGGTTGGGAATGCCTGCTCTACAGGTTTGATGGGCAGATGTGATTGTTTATCTCAAGTCTAATTTTGATTTTGCTTACCCGTTGTGAAGCAACATAATGCTTTATAAAAAGGAATACATTCAAGAACCATTTTATCTTAATTTAAAAGCACTTTGTATCGAAGATTTCCTGATGCAGTGTTTTATAATATTGCTTCAGGACTTTTGGACAAGAAGCAGGCCCTCAGCATTACAACTTCCCCCCTGTACTTTACAGTATCATTTAATTCAATTCACACAAACCATATCTGAAGTTTTTTCTGACTAAAAGCTTAAGTTCCACTTTAAATTCCATGTGATACTATGTGGTCCAGAAAAGTATGAAATTTGTTTTCACTATTTTATAGGTCTGGGTTATAATGAAAATGAAAAAAGAATTACAGCCTTACTCTTTCATTTTAGTCTCTCCACTACTTCCTTGTGTTTCAACCATTTTATTTTTTGTTTCATCTCAACCCCCGATGCTTGGGAAATACTTTTCATAATTAGTGGCAATCGTTAGTAGTCTGAAAAAGTAAAGGAATAGGATCTTAGTTTAACTAAGTCTGCTTATGTTTGTAGGACATGGTGGACAGTAGTAGTTTATAATAAATGAGCTGGTAAGTTACAATCAGAGTTTCTTACAAAAAACAGAATGCTTAAGATCAACTTTAAGAAAACCAATTAACTTCTCCAGGGGTTTGGTTACTGAAATAATCACACCAATGATCAGCTCCGCAAAACAAATTTTAAAGCTTGATGCCAACTAGATGAAAATCTTAGAAGTACTGAAAGTCTAATGCTGTAACATTACTTCACTCCAAGACACATCAGAGGCCAAGTTGAGCAAAATCTTTAATGACCGATAAGAGCAACCACAAATGATATAATATACAACCCCACCAGCATGCCAGTGTTTTCATAGAAACTGTACAATGTGAGGGAATGTATGGTGCAGGAATACATAGCGATGAGAAGAAAGGGTTTTTACATCCAGATGTTCTGGTACAGTACGACTTGATTTCATTTCTTCCAACATTATTGGTTAGTTTAGTGTCACCTGATCTGGTGGGTGGGTGGGTCGCTCATTTAGAAAAAAGGCTCAAGGCCCCGTCAGTCAACAGGCTTAGACCAGACACCGCCAAGGTCTCCAGTGGCGGCGGCAGCAGCAGGCGGTGGCTGGCTCAGCCTCCTCTATACCTCCTCTTAACAATCTGCATGGGCGATGTAGTGTGAATGGTGAACAATAAGGCTATAGGGAACAACGGTTAAAAAATAAACATTTCTAATGTTGGTTTTCCTCCACACGACTGTAGATTGGTACTAAGGCCTCGTAGCTGGGTGGAGCAAGAGAACCCATACTGGATTATTGTTTTGCCATTTTATCCCCCCCCCCCACGGTTCGTGGGAACATTCACCCACTTATTTAGATTGGTGGGGGGGAGCTTTGTGCAGAGCTGCAAATCAGAAACCTGTTTAACTACAGCAGGGCTACAGATGGAAGTGAAACAGAACAGCTGATGGCAGATTGCTGCTCGTACACTGAAGACACGTTGATAAGTTTAGACATAAGGCAGCTACTTTTATACTTCACACTTCTTTTGTCGACTTTGGCCCCAACCTCCTGGGTACAGGAGGGGGAGGGGTAAGAATACATTTAGTGAAGGCGCTACAGAGCAGCTCCCATCGAACTGTTGGTACAAGGCAGGTATTGGTTCTTGTATCAAAAGACACCAAACAAAGGAATGCTACTGCCAAGGAGGGCAGGGTGGGGGTGGATGAGGTGGGGTTAGCTATGAACACAACAGCTGATTAACATGTGAATACAGTCACATTACACAACCATTGATACAAGTAGATATATTAAAAAAAAAAAGGCAAACGAAAGTTGATTGTACAGTTGCTTGTCCACATGTACTTCATACTGAAAGAGGAAGACACCATTCTGGGGGTGGGGTGAAGGCAGGGGGAGGGGTTAATCTCTTCAAGCAGCTGAAACCAGGAGGACCAGAGCTGGGTGTGAGGGGAGGAGCTTGGTGCTACAGAGTCGTGTGCAACCAATGAGACGTCGTGCGGGGATTGGTGAAAATGGACGGAGGAAAGACGGCAGGGTTCAGTCAGGCCAGAACCAAGGCATGAGAGCATGAAATGCAAAGTAAAAACAAAGGCAGAAATGGTGGACATGGGGTGAGGATGGAGGAGAGGAAGAGAGTGGGAGTGAGGGGGGTGCGCTGGAGGGATCACAGCCCCCTACCCATCCCACTCTCCCCTTAACATAAAGGCCCCTTTTCAATCGTTCCAGTCTTTCTTGATGTTGAGGTTCCACTCCCAGGACAGGTGGTCGTGCTTGTCATCGTCGGTAAACTTAGATTTGATGACGTAGTTCCCACGGGCCAGCATGCCTTTAGGAGCCTCCTCGATCGTGGTCAGGAAGTCGTATTCAGTGGGGCGGGGCCCGTAGCTGCCCACCATGTAGTCCGATTTATCAACTGTACAGGGGAGAAAATAAAGATGCTTTAAACAGGCTCCCTTCACAGATTTTAGATTAATTTCTGTTACAGCATGTGAGACAAACAGAAGGAATCAGCTCTTGGTATTACATCATACAGGTTTTGTTTTTGTTTTTTGTTTTTCTTAAATCAAACCCGTGTCAGAAGATAATCACCTCCAAAAGCATAAAGAAGTCTGATTTTCTAAGGATAACAGTTTTGGTTTCATTTGGTCATAGTAGGTCCCAATATGGAAAAATAGAATGAAAGACAAAAGAAATTGTCCAATTTTTAGGCATCAAATCCTAAATCTTTGATACAATGAGGGGGAGGCAGCAATGGATTTTAAAGAAACTAACACTAAATATTAACATTTTTGGCATTTTGATTTAACATCTAGCTGTTAAAACCATTTTTAGTTTTACCAACAGGGTCAGTCGCTGCTGAGCTTCAGAGACAGCACTGTGGTGGACAAGTGGACTATCACTTTCCAAAAAAAAAAAAACACCAGGAGAGGACGCTGACTCACTTTTCATTCCTTTCCTGAACGTCTGCTGCACGTACTTCAGTCCTGAAACAATCTCCTTGTTCACCTGAGGACACAAACACAGATATTGGCAGACAGAAGGTGGAATATCTACACCATTACATGCATATTTTAATCATGTTTTCAGTGATATTCACTGAAGCTATGTGAATGGTTGAATAAGTTATAAAATGATTGGTCGTCTTTTTAACAAAGCTAATCTACTCTATTACCCAGCGGCTAAAATGAGTTGCAGGGGATCAATCATTTTTTAGGACATTTTCTTTTTCACTGGATCCAATTTGTGAACATTTCTCCACAAAGCTCTACTCTCTGGGATGTCACCATGGTAACAAGCTTAGAAAATCTGACAAAGCCTGTGTTTCAGGTATTACTCTGCTATGGCTAACTGTATTCAGCCTCTTTAAAAGGCTCTTAGTTTCTTACCTTAAAGCTGATTTTTATTTTGTATTCTACTCCCTCCTTTAGCACGAAGGCCTGCTTCTTGAAAGCTTCAAGGTCTCCTGTAGGACAAGTTGAAGAAGAATTAGACGCCAGGACAAAAAAATCATCACAACGCCTTAAACAATCATGAATCTTTCTCAAAATCCACAAACAAAACAAAAAAAACCTTTAATACTACAAGAATTTTAATAATTTGTATAAATAAATAAAACGGATACAACTTTAATTGTAATTTCCAACTTTATGGCACCAATATGGGTCCTTCATATACACCTATATTTCATACACACACATTTATGCATCTCTACCCTTGTAGATTAGCTTCCATTCATCTCTACAGCCCAACCATTACGGGTTCATACCCAACCCTGACCTAAACTCAGTTTAACCTTGTTCCTAAACCCAACTCTTAATTTTAAAACATCAATTGTAACCATGGAGACCAGGCATTGCGTATGAAATGCACAGACCACTCTGCTGTAGATTCATAAAGGCTAGAAGCCTTTGTTCTGTACAGCCAACTTTAGATGCACAAATTCACATTCAATGAGAAATGTGTCCACCTGCTGGCCACAGTGGGTATCTCTGTTCTAGACTGTCTTTATCTTGTCAGTTTGCTCCATTTTCTCCAGAACAGAGAAAAACAATCCTAAAAAGACTGAAGAGAGCATAAGACATTCTTTAAAAGTAGAAATTAACTAAATCTCCACACGTATGATTAACATTAGTCCTATTTAAAATTTAAACATCACCATAGAATAAAACCTATAGGGCAGGCATCCCCAAAGTCGGTCCTCAAAGGCCGCTGTCCAGCAGGATTTAGAGGTTTCCTTGCTCCAGCACAGCTGATTTTAATTGAAAAATGATCAACTGCAATCATTATAATCAGCTGTGCTAAAGCAGGGAAACCTCTAAAACCTGCAGGACAGTGGCCCTCAGGGACCGACTTTGGGGATGCCTGCTATAGGGGATTTAAGTTAAACAACCAGTGATGCACACTTAATCCAACAACTTTTGGATAGATTAATCCACTGAGCCTTATTTTAAGTTTCTATGGTAGTTTTTCACTCTTTAAAAAGTGCAATGAAGAGTGAAATGGACCACAAGAGAGAAAAAGTGCTTTAAATATTTGGATAAAGATGGCACATTTGAATGTTCCTGCAAATGAAGGAGTGTGAAAAATCCCCCCATTTATGCAAAGCATCAGTTGCTGCTTTGCATAAATAGGAAAGTTTTCAAGTTTTACCCGAGTTTATCAAACTAAAAAAAACAAACAAACAAAAAAAAGACCTGTATTCACAAAGATTTTAACTTTGAACTGAAGCCAGATTGTGTTGCCATCTTTCCTCCATAGAAATCAGATTTTTTTCTGGCCAAAACAAGCTGCTGCCTGAACTGAATATGGTGTGTTTTTTTTACTTTGATCCCACCTGCTCTGAAGCAGATGAGAACAACTACTCAGTTTTTGGCCTGGTTGACCCTTGTTTCCCGCCCACAGAACCATTCTGGCCCGATCGAGCCATCAGCTGCCTCTTTAAAGGAGATGTACTCATATAGCTGCTGTAAATTATCAAATTAAACCCTACAGATCTTCCTCTGTTTTGCATTGAATTAAGTCTCTCAGAGAGCTGCCTTTTGGATGATTGGATAACAGAACTACTGGAGAAATAAAGTTGACAAAACCAAACTGGACAGAGGGGCTCATAGTGAGTGTGTAAAATACAGCAAATACTTATTCACCTCATGTACATATTTCCTCTATACGTATAGCATATTTATTGTGTTTTATAATGGCTAGAGTAGGTTTCCCTTTGACTTTTTTATATTTCCAAATGATTTGAGCATTTTACATTCTGTAGAAAACATTTAAACTCTTCTGTATTACACAGTTTTTACATGTTTTTGCTTTACATGTTTGGTTATTTACCAATCTATCCTTAACAAGCACCTTTAATCCATCCTGCTGCTGAAAACATTTTATTTCCCCCTATGGGAATGATTAAGTTAATCTCATTTCTATAATAGTTGCATGATTAAACGTATTCATCTATTCCACTGTTTAGGTAGAAGATCATCTCTCTTCCCTCCATCTTCTCTGCTTTAGACACTCACTATTCCTAACATTTTTTTTCTCTTTGCTTTAGAAGAAAGAGTGCTTTGCTTAAAAATTTTAACCAACCAAAAGAAAGTAAATTTTTTAATTCCAAGCACTTTGAAGATTTTTTCTTAAACAACATTAATAAGAGGCATTTTCTTCTCAGGATTCTTGGTTGTGCTGGGCCATTACAGACCTAGTGCGTTTAAAATTTCTTTCACAGATTTTTCAGACTATGAGGGGAAACCTGGAGGATCTTAATCACAGGCAGATCTTGGCTTTACTAGTTTTACATCTGCTAACTGGAGAACTTTCAGGTATGCTATACTTTAAAAAAATAATAAAGTACAGCTAAGGGTTAGTTACTGTGTCATTACAACCTATAATGAAACCCTCCAGATCGCTGCAAGAAGGTCCGTATCTTCAGAAATACTCAAAAGGGAAACTCTGCCTTTAAACTACGGAAGCAAACTTAGGTTTTATTTTTAGGATTTTGTAGAACGCCTCCCTAGTGTCTAATGCCCTAAACACCTTCCTCATTAAAACTTTTGCAGACAGAAATGAGTAAATATGGCCTAAACTTTGTTACTTTACTTAAAACACAGAAAGCCACCATCTACAGAAAGAAATGCACATGCAAACAGTATTTTCCATGCATCCTGGACTGAGGGAGTCTAAAATTAACCTCCAGTCCCATGTGTGGTGAACTCCATGTTCAGCATCTCTGCCCCATAGTTGTTAGACTACTGAGTTAAACCCAGTATACAGCTCATCCATCTCCCATTACTTCATTGTGTTCTCTTCAAATCTACAAGAGTCTGCTTTAACTCACTAAGCTAGTGTGACTCACCCTCAACAGATTCTTCGAAAAGGAGCCGGAGATTGTATCCATTAATGAGTTAAACTAACATTTGGAGGACAAATCCTTCTTTAAGACATAAACATTGGTAATAGAGGAGGTAGATTCACCTATTCATACGTCAGTTTCAGTATATCAAATATTTGTGTATCTCACTCCTCACAATGGGGAAATAAAGTGCATCTTTTGTGGCATCCCTGGGTAATTTCCCACCTTGCAAACAATCCATATGAGGATCTACTCCAACAATCAGAACTGCTTTTACTCATAAATGGACCTAAGATGTAGTGGAAATATTAATAAAAATCTGAAAAGAATCAGCATAGTTTCATTATATTACCAGACCAGGCAGTCATAATTAGATGAGAAGTTTGGAAAAAAAAAGCTGCAGTGATGCAAAGAACAGCAGACACTGCACAGAATGTTCTGGTCTTCATGTTGTGGCCAGCTGGAGACTTTCCACTGGGAATAACTTCAACAGTGTAAAAGAAGTTTATGAGTACTTTGAAGTTGGACTCAGAATGAGGAGATGTGATGAAGTATTGGTCTCTTAATGTCAACATTACACAATAGATTAATTTAAGAAGTTTGGCTGCATTTGGACCTCTTTTTTTGCATAAGCATCTTTAGCAAGGTAAAACAACAAATAAATAAATAAAAAGACCGTTAAGCAACATCAGGATTCGGGAAGTACTTTGTAATTTAGTTAGAAGAAAGAAGAAAAGAACAGACTCACCTTGCAGGTCTAGCACCAGAGGGTTTGGTGCAGTTTCACAGACGAGGGCCATCCGGGTCACCTGAACATTGGGAGCATTTGGATCTAAATGAAATTGAAAAAAAAAAAAAGTTAAATTATCTGGAGATCAATACACTGAGAAAAATGGAACCAGAATTTCCCTGAAGGAGTAATCCTAAGAGATAAATAAAGTCGAGTCTAAATCTAAAAAAGAAAAGCACTTTCCAGATATGGGGTACCAACACGACTCTGCTCTTCTGGCCCAGTTGTAGTGACGCAGGATGCAGGAATTTGTCCTGCAACCAGAGGGTCACTGGTTCAAACTAGAGCTCCTCCTGCCTCAATTGTTGAGTCATTGGGCAAGACACTTCACCTAGCAGCCTCTCTTCTATCCGTGTGCCCAAGGACAGCTGTGGCTACAATGCTTACCACCAACAGTGCGTGAATAGCTAAATGATTGAATGCATTGAAAAGCATGTCAGGGTCACGGTCAGAAGTTAAGTAAAGCCTAGCATTGTCCCATGACAGGATGCACAGTCATGAAATATTCTCGCTAAAAGATGTTCAACAATCATGTGTAGTTGTAGTATAAACAAAGAGCTCCTCAGTCACAAAGGGGTGCAGTGCTACAATCCCGGGGCACAGACTAGTCAAATTAGAGATCTGCTGTTCCTGGCTTTAAAAATGTAAAGGCTAAAACTCAAAATCACCCGCAGAGAACAACCATCCACCAGATATCTTTACCCAAAAGCTAAAGAGTCAAAGAGGCTCTTAGCTTATTTCTAGCAGCCATACGACGAGGGGTGGGTTATCTAAGCATCCTCACACCTGAGGTTAATTTTGGAGCAATCAGTGACTAGCAGGCATGTTAAGCCTCGACATGCAGAGAGAACATGTAAACTCCACACTAAAACACCTCAGGCGCCAACTCAAACCTAGAACCATGATGTTCTAAGGCAACAGTGCTAAATGTGTGTCCATGCCGCCCTTGGAGAGTCATAGGACTGTGATTATGTGTAATGGAGTAAGATTGCAGAAAATAGATAGAAAACTGGGCAATTTTGAAGAGTATCAACAAAGTGGGGGTGAACACACCTGGGAATTAACCAATAGTTCTTTGTATAATAGTTCAAAGACTTCACAGACCGATGCAATTTAAATCCTCTAGTCAATTTTTACTAAAACTGATGCGTCCTTAAACATTAGGCACACACTTCAGTACAGATAGAATCAGTCCTCCTCAACCCTGATCCTCCTAGTTCATGATTTAGATGCATCCATTCCCCACACCTGATTCAAGTTATGCCATTATCTCCTAAGAATGCTACTAAGAGCAGCAGAGGCCTATTAACCATCCATTCATTTAAGTCAGGAGTGTGGCTAGAGGGAAACGCATCAAACATGCTGTACGAAGGGCCCCAAGGACCAAGGCTGTAAAAAACTGGGTAACATAGTCAAAGATAAAGATTTGTTATAATCCACACCGAGGGGGCCCTTGCATTAGTGGTAGTACCTAAAAGTACAGAAATGCAGTGTATTAAAAATAGTCTTTAAAGAGAAGGAGGATATGTGATGTAGTGCAGTTATACTCCAAAAATTGTTGTTTATATTTCTTAGATCTTTAAAGCCATCATGAAATTCCTCGAGTATTTTTTAGCAAAGTCTTGCAGCATTGCAGGGGGTCGGTATCTTACAGCTGTTTTAATGCCAGAGCTCTGGGGAGCTGAAAGTGGGACAGCTCTGCTGTAAATGAGACATTCTGATTGTTAATTAGACTTCAGTTTTTTTTGGTTAAACAAAAACAAAAAATGAACCAAATCGTTTCGTAGTTTAGCCCATAGAATATAGGATCATAATTTTCATACCATCCTGTTGAAGATTCTACTCAAACTCTCTCCAAACCACAGTTAAGCTTAAAATATTCCTAAACATTAATTTCTCCTCACATTGGTTTAGATGAACCTTTCTTCTGAGAAGTAATGATATTTTGAGCATTATTCATATTGATAATCTGCCTGTAATAATTACTGCTGGGTCTAACAGCGACAATAAGGCCATATTTGAAGTTTGTAGAAATCAATTCCACTTTGAGGATTATACCCTGGCTACTTATCCTGTGAACTCTTGCGAGCTGAAAACCCCCCAATGCTCCTTTACTAAACAAACATTGAACTTTATAGTTGTAGGAATGTATTTTTTTGTTATTTTTTTGGCTAAAATATCAGTAAAAAAAAAAACTGTAACCCACTATATACAAATGCAACTAATTAAGGTTAACTAACAGGTGTCTCATAAAAAGATGTATATTTACTAGTTTCCAAGTACAGTGAACCCTCGCTATAACGCGGTTCACTTTTCACGGTCTCACTGCTTCACGGATTTGCATCATGCATTGTTAAACTTTATTGTCAAACATATTAATGGTGGCATGTCGGTTTCTAAGGATATTTTGGCCCAGAAGAAAAAAAAGAGCGACAACAACTACCGATAACTATGTTCTTCTCTCCAAAAAACACACCTGCACCGCAGGCTTTAGAAGAAAAAAAATGCCACAGAGCAGAATCAGGATGCAGCGGCTCCGTCAGAACAGCAGTGAAATACTGTACTGTACACGTCAGTCACTATTTGTCCTACTGTACTTTGTATTTTTTTTTTCATAATCATTTTTTATTTTCTCCCGTTCCAATCCGTCACGGCGGGGCGGTGCTGATCCCCGCAAAATTAACCATTCATTTCGTATTGATTATTAAAATTATTACTTATTTATTTATAACTATATTATTTTACAGTACAGTACAGTAGTTAACGTTTATACCGTACTTTTATTTGTTAAACAAATGCTTGGGCCTGTAAAAAGTTTTTGTTCCTTGATTTCAATGTTGTATGGAGTATTTCATTGTATAATAACTGTAAAAAAATAATAATAAAGGTTTCTACTTCACGGATTTCACCTATCGCGGGTTCTTTTTGGAAAGTAACCCCTGTGATAAACAAGGGTTCACTGTACACCAATCCTTTTTGGTGCCTGCATCTTAAAGGGACAGTGTGTATGATTTACCTCAATCTAGTGATGCGTAAAATAAGTTTTAAACAACAGACTGGCGTTTCCCCATCAAGCGTGAAAGGCATGCTAAGGGAACTACAGAGTGACATCCTCCTCTTTTTTAATATAGTGGACACATCCACCGACATCAACCAGTGTAATTCAAAGAGTAATCCTTCTTCCATACGAGTTATCTGTGGCTAAAATTTTATTAAGATAAATTCTGGCGAAAACAAGAATGCTCCAAAAAACTATGAATTCATATAAAAAATGCATTTAATTCTGTTGAGCATAAAGAGCATTTGCTCTCCCACATCTGCAGGCTCCTACGGTAAAGGACATGCTGATTCTGATGCTTTTCTTGCGTCCGACTCAAATGTGCAACAGGCTTAGTTCAACCCAGTCAACCTTTAAAAATCCTGCAACCAACCAGACCTATTTCAAGGAGTAACCTGAAGGATTCATTTTTCCTTAAGATAAAGGCTCCCTGGCATTTTGGAGACAAAAATGTAGGGTACGCAGGGATTTACCACCAGACTTTTCCAAATTCTATCTAATCCCACTTTGAAATGGGGCCTGGAAGGATAGAGCCAGTTAAAACCATTTTTGTTTAAAATATATATATTAGTTAAAATGCATCAAACACATGGAAAATCTGTGAAAACACGTGAAAGAAGCGTACAGTCGCCTGCTTGTTTGATTTTGAGAGGAAAAACAGGAACTGATAACTGTTGCAATGGATCTCATCCAGTGTAGAATAACAAACAAACTAGCCATCTCTGCAGGGGGACAGACTAGATGCTAACACTGCCATGTTTTCAACATAATGTCAAAAGCTGTGCGGAGGTAGACACTCAATTTCTCCCGTTTCTCTACTTTTTGGGTTCCAAAATTGAAGATATAATGATCTATGCTTGTTTTTGCTTTGTTTTTTTGAGTATGGCTGACATCCCTGTCCTATTACGACCAATATAAGGAAGAAAGGGGGGGAAAAAAAGGCAACGACGTAGCGTCTCTCATTGGGTGATTTTAAGTCATGAGAAAGCTTATGCTGGTGAAGATTCTCATTCATCCAGGTCATACTCATTACAAATAAAGTTAAAAACAAACCACTGGACTTTGTTTTCCAAGTTTGAAGACGTTTCGCTTCCCAATCAAAAAAGCTTTCTTAATTCAAACAATTGAATTGAATTGAGAAAAGTTTGCGTATAGGAAGCAAAACGTCAAACTTGGAAAAACAAAGACCAGTGGTTTGTTTTTACCTTTTTTTTGGCATGAGAAAGCTTTCATCGTTAACTGATATTAGATTTTCACAGAACATGAATTTATTAATAAGATGCTTGATTTCTCCTAATAAAATGTATTACTTTAAATATTTCAATTAGTAATAAGTATTTAAGCAAAGAATTATTCATTTTCAAGAAAACCCATTCTTAATACAATCAGGGACACATGCTTCTTAAACAACAGAGCAGCCACTCTTTCTTTTATAGACGTAAACGTATTCTAACATTACCAGATTCAGTGATCCCAGGGCCAAGCAGGGCTTCTTTGTATTTCCGTAGACTTTCATCATCTTTATCCAGCTCCTGAATCTCTTTCACAGACTTCTGCGCTGGGGGCTTGTAGTTCACTGGCTCGGGCTCCTCGTTTTCGGCTGCGATGGCTGCTAGCTGCTCTGGGGTCACCTCATCCTCAGCCATGTCTGGAGATATAAAAACATACACATGCATCAGAGCGGCAGCAAAGCCAGCTGGGAATAAAGTATATAGAGGCAGAGATATACATCTCTGCTGATTTGATGCTTTAGTCAATACCACCCCTGTCAGGAGGATGTACAAAAAAAAAAAAACATTTTATCTTGGCTATGTAATACCCCACCTGAAATAACGTCATCAATACAGTTTATGAATTGAATTAGGTGGCTCACATGATGAAATGCCTCTCCTGCAGGATGTGATGAACGGTACTGAAGCCTTCATAATGTCTATATCACAGGAAAATAACTGAGCTACTCTGGAATGACAAACATGAGCCATCAGGGTATTTTGAAGAAAATCCCTTAGTAAGGACAGATTTTATTCATATTTTCTGAGAAATAAAATCAAGGTTTCAATTTAGAAAACCCGTGAGCATTGAGAATATTAGAACATTTCTCTTCTCATAAAGTTAAATAACTTCAATCAGGAAGGAAGGCTTCAATGTGTGGAATAACTAGTTCAGCTGCTGCCAAAACAGAGATCTGTTATGAGAGCAAATAATTGCTCCTTCTGCACTTCTCCTTGGAAGAGCTTGGGAGTTTCACTCAAATAATTTCCTTTGCAGGAACAGAGTGAGTTACAAAAGCAGGAAGAGCTCTGTTTACTCCAAGAGTCTTGACATTCACGCTACAGCCATCCCACCCGCCTTCTCCACACGGACTACTGAAGTAATGCACTGTAAATATTTAAATCCGTAGTATTCACGTAGATTCCTACATACAGTAGCTACGCTAACACAGTAAAAAGCCACCACACTGCTGTGAGGAGCATACAAGACAGTTTATATCAAAACGGTACATGTGGTTATGTGGGAAAACAATATTATGACACTTTTGGGGGTATTTTATGGTGCTGTAGAGACATTTGGGTGTTCAGGAAAGTCCTGAAATGACTCCATCCCAGTAAAGAACGGAGATGCACACACTCCTTACTGTTATTCACCAATAAAGAGCACAGAAGTACTGGAATAGTTTTAACAAAACAACACTCCACTGGCCATACATTGGATATGTTGCTTACTCAGCAGAGTTCCAAGCCTGGAAGCTGAAAGGAACCATCCTACATCTTCCTTAAGGACTTTAGCACATTTAAAGCTTGAATAACCAACCAAAAAGAATGACAGATGTTAGTGAAACAAAATGTTTGTTCTCTTTTATTCCATGTTTCTACACAGCAAAGGGAGAGGCTCATCAGTTTAAAAAACGCAGCTTTGTGGAGTTTGTATGAAAATGTGTTCTTAAGTTAAAACGAACCTCATTACTGGTACCATTTTTAGGCAGCAATAACCCACATATCCTTTGATATCATACAGTTACAAGTTACAATCTAAATGTGTTTCACAATACCTGGGAAATATCTTTTGGAATTTAAAGGACACAAGTTTGTTATGCTAAACAAACCAAAAGTAATTCCCTATTCTTTCATTTACAGTGTCAGTCCCATGTATTTACCAGTCTTTGTAAACATGTTTTAAAAGCCTTAAATGTATCTACTTTATTTACCGCAAATGAAGTATTTGGAGTTTGTTTATAAAAAAAAAAAATAAACAAATTATTTAACCCAAATCAAAGGAGCTTTATGATTTGCTGCTTCATTACAAAACTTGAGCTTGCAAGTATTGTTGATCTGACGCCAGAGGCTACGTTCACACTGCAGGCCTTGATGCTCAATTCCAATTTTTTTTATGAAATCTGATTTTTTTTTTTATGTTGCCGTTCACATTTTCAAATATATAAGACTTGTATGTGATCTGCTGTGTGAACTGCAGTCACACAACGCAACTGTCCCGCATGCGCAGTAGAGGAGGCAATGACCTCACAGGTCAGCGTGCTCCGTGTTTACGGAAGTAAACATTGAAGGTATTGCCGGAGCGCATCTAGCGATCTTTCCCACCATAAAAACACAATCAAGATGTTTAAACATAAATATTGCTCTCTGCATCATTGTCCGCCATGGTTGTTGTTTTTCTTGCTGCTTCTGTGTAACAGGACCCAGAATAGAGATCTTTTCGTATATTAATGGTGTTCAGGTCGGATGAATGTGACCTGGCCGTTCAGACAGGGGTTGCATTTGAAATAATCAGATTTGTATCGGATTCTTGACCACATAGCCAAGTGGCCTGGGTCGCATTGGAATAAAATCGGATCAGTGTTGTTCAGACAGCCATGAAAAGAACAGATTCAAGTCGCATATGGGCCTAAAAAAATAAATAAAAATAAAAGATTTGGGTCACTTCAGGCTACAGTGTGAACGTAGGCTTAGACACCTTCTGACCACAGACGTCAGGACAGTCCCCTCCAGTGAAATTATGCCATGTTCATTAAAAGCCAAAACGTACTGGGGCCCCAAAGCCTACTAGAAAACTAAATCTACATCTCTATAAAACTCTTCAGTGGAGTAAGAAGTGAGCTAACATTTCATGGAAGTCAGCTGTACTACATTTGAACTTGGTGAAACAAAGCAAACCAACACAACATGATGACTGAAAAGCTGTACTAAACAAAATGTTTTCTGCTTATACAAAGGGACAATAAAAGTTGTCTAAGTCCAAGACACGACTCTCCATATACTATGGAAGCATTCAAATGGACTGCCACCATCTTGGATTATGACCTTGGCTTCTAAATGTAATGTAGCAAATTTATAAGGAAAGAGGATTTTTATGGCATTTCTGGTTCAGGGGTAGCTTAGCTTAGAGAGGGTTTTACTGCATGCACTGGAAGGGTTATAGGACTTCAGAAAGAAAATCCTTTAAAACATCCCTAAAAGAAATGTTATAGCAATGATTTGTCATGCCAAGCAAAGTGTCAATTTCTATCCATACCTCTGCCTGGTGTCCTGTTTGACCTGCCCAAACTAGCAGTCATGAGAGGAATTTAAAGCCCAAAGAAGCAGCTAGGAAGAAGCACACTCAGTGAAAAGCTGTGTAGCTGAAAATGCCCAAGCACAAACAAAAACCGCAATATATACCATTTTTTCCCCTTATTTGTCAAACCCTTGTTGGATTTCATTTTCTACAACTAAAACATTTAACCAAGTCAAAAGATTAAATGTTTTTTGTGCTTTGTAACAAAATAGCTACATGTTCAAGCAGCCACGTGAGTATGATTTTTCTACACGTATAAAGGTGATCTGAAATTTCACTTACGGTACCGGTACTTGCATATATATTTTTATTTACATATATATATGTAAATAAAATCAAGTGAGATGCTGGCAAGGTAAAGGCCTAGAGTAAATATACAGAGTAAACCATTTTCAATTCAGTACTTTTATTTCAACAGATAAATAGCTGTTGATTGAAGACTTCTAATATTTCACTATAATTTCTCTCAAATACAGCATTACTTAACTATCCTTTTCAAATTGCATATTTATTCTACAGTCCCTGTGATCAGTAAAACAAATTACATTTTAAATAAAATATAAATAAATCTCCTAAATCGGAGTTCTTCAATAGGGGGTCCACAACCACTAGGGGGTCCACAGATGTGCACATGGGTCATAAAAGTTTTGGTGGATTAAACTTTTGTTTTTTTTATATATTCCCCTCTGCAATTTTTTCCACAAATTAAAATGTCTTTAAATACACGTTAACGGGAATTCAAAACACTGAAGTAAACAGATAAATGGAGGCAGAAGATGTATTTTCAGTCATCAACGAACACAGGAGCTCTTTCAAGCTGGGCACTGTTTCATTCACAACACCTGTCCCATCAACCAGGAATCAGAGCCAGAAATACTTTCATAATCCCAGGGAGAAATTACTTTGGTTACATTACTCCATCTGTAATAGAGTGACTATAGGACCAATTTGATATACAATATTTCATGCAATATATATAATTAGGGGGTCTCCGCTCCTTCTTGCCATCAGTTTGGGGTCCTTGGCCTGGAAAACGTTTAAGACCCCTGTCCTAAGTCATGTAAAAAAATATTATTATTAAAGAAAGCTGCTTTGTCCTATAATAGAGTCAACATGTTTCAAGGCTGCTGTAATCCTATGGGAGGGAATCAACCAGCTTTATTGGAACAACCAGACAAACCACTGAACAGGACAGGAAACTGAAAACATCTTTACACAAAGGAAATATAAAGGATACTCTGGTGGTGTGGAAAACCTTTCTATAAACCGGTCTTCTGGATTGCTGCTTTGCATATCCAGACACCCACTTCTGTCATTTTTGTTTAAAGTACAAACGGTCAAACTACATTAATAATGTTGCTTATTTATATCTTGTATTGTTTGTAAAATAATGGCTCAAACCTACCGAAAACACAATTCAAACACACGCTCAACCTCACCTCTCCTTTTGGCACCTTCTTTTTGACTATTGAGCTGATGTGACAAGTAAATGTCTCCACTGTGAGATAAATAAAGTCTATCATTCAATCTCTCAAAGAGAAATTAAATGCTGCCATTACTCATGAGCAGTTTTTCCAAGTTCAAGGAATTGGAAAGATATCCAATTAATGGAAACAAAAAGCTATGGTTTGGAAATAAAAAAAAGCAGCTCCATCGTTTTAATCAACTAAACGGGTTTAAAAACTACAGTTGGAAAGCTGCTGGGAGCCGACAGCATGATAATGACCAGTTTATAAATGTCTTAATTCTTTTTCCACTCTATAAGATGAAAGAAGTATAGTATACTTAACAAAAAGCATAAAAATAGAATATTTTTTGTTTTATTTTTTTCAGTTTGAACTCAGTCCTATGCCCTAACCACTATGTTGCCAGTCCCCCTTCTTACTTTATGTATAAAATTTAAAAAGAGCACTTTATAACAGCATTATAATTTGATTTTAGCAGAAAATGTGTAATCCCACCGTTTTAATGAAATAAAATTGTGGAACAGGACAGCTTTTTCTAAACAAAAAACAAAATAAACATGGCGTCTGCACTTAATTTGCCCGCCTTCGATTAATTTATTCACGCCCTTATGGATTGGCAATAATATTGATTTGTTACCAAGGAAAATATCAATTATTATCTTAAGTGTGTTGCTATCAAACAACTTATGAAAAGTTGCTAGATAGCGGAATACAATTGTTTGTAGTTTGACAGCTTTTAACTAAAACATAAAATCAGATCAGCTCAACACATTTATTTACCTCCTGTACAAAGCAGAGCTACATAAAGAGGATATATTTTTTTAAGTTAGTCTAACCTTTTTCAGAGATCTTCAAACAGGATTATAGGCATATTTGGTTAAAGCCAGATAAAGCATCAGTGCTTTGAAACGTCATGTTTTATTTGTAGTTTGGTATCAAATATGTACTTATGATCAAATGGAAACCATCAAACTGAACTGGTAGAGGAATTAAACCGATAAACTGCTCCTCAGAAAACCGTCTAATGTCATGAATGTAACAGCTACAAGCTAACAAACAGGGCTGCTTCTCATTTTTTTAGAAATCCGGCATGTTCTGTGCTTTTTACACAATAACACTGCAGCGACAGCACGACAAGGAGCCTCACAATAAGCGACGAGTCGTTTATTTTAACCTCACTCTCAAAATATGTATTTTACCACACATTTTACTTTACTAGGCGTCGGCTACTTTCCACAGGGTGGGACTGGGAGAAAAGGCAAGCGGCGGCTAGGAAACAATCCAACCAAGCTAAATGTACCCTGCGGCTAGCACTAGCCTGACAACTTCTCATCAGCCGTCAGAGGCCGAGAAGCTTCGAGAATAATTCCGAGTAGAGCAGGGTGGAGGGAAGATTAGGTCAAACCTTATCGGCTAGCCTCAACACTATGAGGACTTACCTTAAAGTTAAAAAAGCAGCAGTGATTTCAGGTGCCTCTGCAGATAAGTGCGTTCGTTGCTCGGAGCTCTTGTGCAAGTATGGCGGACAAGGGAAAAGGCGCCGCCCCTATTTTAGCCATGGGGTTGGTTGTGTGCGTGCGCGCTCCACCTGCCTGACGTACCGGGGCCGCGCGTCTATATTCAACACCCCTGTTAACGGGACCAATTAAAACATGAGAGAGGAAGTTGCAATGTATGTGGGGAATTTGAAACGATAGAAGAGGCTATGTATAACTGTAGGAAATATCAAACACAAAAGGAAAAAGAGCAGTATTGTATGATATATATTTTAAGGTGTATATATATATATATATATATATATATATATATATATATATATATATAT